AATAGGAAAAAAAAGGGTCAAAATTGAGGAGAACAAGATTGTTTTTGGGATGTAAGTTCATGAGAAGTTGATCAATAGTTCCAATTATTGTAGAAATTTGGGAAAGATTTTGAGTGGTGCATTTGTCATTTCATTGAGTCTAATGATGATGGCAGATATTCTGCCTAAGGGTCCATTGTCGTTATTCTTTTTTCAGTTTTCTTCAATATATATCTCTCCTTTCTGTGTTTGACTTATTTGCATTTTCTGTGTTACGGGCTACTTAGTCCAAGCTACATATTAATTTGGCTGGAAAGAGCAAGATGGAAATGATAGAACCATATACATTTTGCTAATCTGTGCACTATGAAGAGATTTGTCTTCTTCTTTTTTTGTATTCTCTAGACATAAAGGTCAGTATAACTATAAGGAAACAATCTAATCTTTCTGCATTAAATTGGAGAAATTTTCATTCTCTATGACGTTGTTGAAGATCTATTTGAATTTTCCAGTCTTAGGATTTCTAACAAGCAAAAAAGCTTGAGTATGAAGAAGTGCACCTAATAACATTGACATACAACAATAGGACATCAATCCAAGCTAGCATAGCATTGTGAGAATTCATTAAAAACAGACAAGTTTTATGCCGACTGACTATCAGCTTACCGCAATCCTCCTTTATTCATACTTGGGACCAACAATATGAATAAACTTACACAGTAGAGTGAAAACCTAATAACATTGACATAAAAAGAAATTGTTATCCATGAGGAGCCTGTGTCGAAGAGTCCATTTGATGATTTTTTTTTTAATGACTCTAACCTATTACGTACTACTCTTGCAGCAAAATATAAGTTTAAAATCTTATTAAGCCAAAGAATATAATGGCAACTAGGGTAAAGGACACTGCTCCACCAGGAAAGGAGAAGAGAGGGACATCTCCTTCACATCCAATTGCTCATCATCTTAGAAGTCCCAATTCATCAAATACAAACTCTCCGGTGCGGAAACGAGCAGATTCAACCACCTCAAACAAGAATGTTCCTAACTATCTCAAGCCTACAATGTCTTCATCGAATGACCCCAACATTCACAATAAGCCTACTCTAACTCGAATAAGATCGTTTGACAAGCCTCCTGTTGTTGCTGCTTTGCAAAAAACTGCTAAAGATAGAATTCTTCGGTCATCCTCATCATTCTCAGTCAAGACTAGTTCAACTTCCCAAAAAACCCTTTCGGATAAATTATCTAGAGCATCTCATATGACTAAGGAAGCCACTGGTAAACAACGTGGCACCAGCATGTATGCTAGACCAGTGACCATAAAGAAGACTACAGCCACCGGCACCATCTCCAAGAAACAGGAGCCCAGCAGTACTAGTCATAATGACACGCACAAATCAAGAAATGATCAGAATAGTTCAACACCAAAAGCGCCAATAACTAATTCTTCACATGCAGCTGAGGATGTAATTCCTCAGGCTGAAACTGGGCAAGATGACACGTCTAAATCGAGAAATGATCAGGATGATCATAATGAATCAACACCTAAAGAATTAAAAATAACTGATTCTCCACATGCAACTGAGGATATTATTCCTCAAGCTGAACTATCAGAGCAAGAAGATGATCAAGAATTGCCAGTCAATAATACTGAAAGTGACGTGATCATTGACAACAGTGAAACTGCAGCTACTGATGCAGGAGAAAATAATTCAGCCATTGATGATCAAGAAGAGCATAATGGAAATGTAAACAACGCTGAAATAGTTGTGGAAAACCAAGAAATCAGTAAGATGGAAGAACCAGAAGACGCACAACTTGTTGAAGAAACCAACACCAACAACCCTAAAGAACCAGAAGAAATTACCAATGAACTTCATCTTGAAGAGAACACCGTAAAAGCAGTGGATGAGAACCAACAAGAGAAAGAAGAGGATAAAGGAAGAAACCAAGGAAAGGAAGCTGATATGGCAGAGGAAGGTGAAGCAGTGCAGGAGACTAGTACTGCTGTAACATCATCAAAACCTCAACGTCAAGTGGTGCAAGGGAAGAAGGAATCTGTGGTCTCCAATGATGTGATAGAAGAGACTGCAAGTAAGCTTCGAGAGCAAAGGAAGAACAGAGTGAGGGCACTGGCTGGTGCCTTTGAAACTGTCATCTCCTTGCAGGAGCCCAAGTGAGTATTTCTGTTTTTGAGTACATGTATTTATTGATAGCTGTATGAACAAATCAGTACTATAACTTTTGTTCATATACCAGCAAAAATGATGATAATGATAAAATCCATAGTAACAACAACAATCAGTGTTTTAAAAGGCGTTTTCGGGGCGAGGCGCACCAAAAATGCCCCGAGGCGATAGTGGGGACGAAAGTCTCAAAAGGCGTACGCCTGGGCGTTGAGGCGCGTTTTTTGCAGTAAGGCGTAAGCCCAAAAGACTTTCAAATTAAAACAAAATTTGCTGAATAAGTCTTTAATATAATATCCAGATTCTCAAAGTTTTAAAAAGGAACTAATATATCAAATTTAAATGTCAAAACTTTTTTTATTGCTAGAAACCCTAATTTATGGTCTTCCCCAATTCTTTATTTTGTCCGCCGGTCTGTTACTAACTCCCAAAAGCAACGAACAATTAATTGTTTTTTCAAATACAAAGAAAACTCTATTCTCCTCCATAGCAGCAAGTTCAAAATTAGTCATCCTTTTTGTTCCTCCATGTAGAAAATTTTATTCTTTTCAAATCAAGTTACTTGTGCTTGTAAGTATCGTATAATGGATTAGTTTTTAGTGGGGATGAAGCACATACATATGTATGTATATATATATATACATACATATGATTGTTATATTATTGTTGTTAGTGTTTTAAAAGGCATGGGCCTCAGCGAGGCATAAGCCCTGAGGCACTGGGCGTACGCCCCGTGGGTATTTAAATTTTAATATTTTATGAAATATATAATTACAGTAAATATTTTATGAAATATTTATGAAATAGACAATTTTACCTATTTAAAAATATTTACTGTAATTATATATTTCATAAAATATTAAAATTTAAATACCCACGGGGCGTACGCCCAGTGCCTCAGGGCTTACGCCTCGCTGAGGCCCACGCCTTTTAAAACACTAACAACAATAATATAACAATCAAATCATTTTATGTTTTTTACTTTTTATCATGCATCTTGATTCTAATTGAAGTCAACATGTGTTTCTGTTCAGAACTGATGCTTGCGACATAAAAACATATCTATCATGTGCAGTTTAATTGTAAACAGATTTCTGATTAATGTTCTGGAAATATTTCAATTTCAGGGTGTAAATTACAACTTTTGCTAGAAGGACATGCTTTGAGTGGAGAATCAAACATGCTGCTACAATTTGGCTGATAGGGAATGCATCACCAAAATTGCATTCATCTATAATGGTTGGCCAGAAGGTTATTTCCATTAGTAAATTCTAGGAACATGCAATTCTTTCACAAAGACAAAAAGAAGAAATTGGAAAACGAAAAAAAAAAAGCAAGAAAAAAAATGAAAGAGATAGGATGTGTATGTGGTTTTATTTCTGTGTTGCTTTAGAGCTTTTCTCTGAACAGCTCTGTGTAGAAGTACCAGTGGGAAAATATGCCGGTGGTTCGTGTATTAATTGAAGATTTGTACACATATGTAGTATTTCGCTTTGAATTTGCCACAGTTCTGGTGGGTAGTGAAATATATTTTTAAAGGACTGTTGATGGTCAAAATGGTAATGAATCAGATCGAATGGTAACTCGAAATATCATTGAACGACTCATTGTTATTAGAAACTAACATAAAGGAGATTCTGCTTCTCAACTATGAACTCCGAGCAGCGAAAGTGACGTATTAAAAATTAGTGACAGAATTTGACTTAACAATAACAAACACTAGTCTAGTTTATGGTAAGAAAAGTTCTAAGAAAGCTTGGAATATATAAAAGTAATATGACATATATATAGAGGAACTGAAATGGAAATGATTGGATTGATAGTTGTTTTGATTGATTAGATGATTGGATGGTCCAACTTTACCTATTTACAGACTTAAAATTGATAGCTAAGCTTCACTAACTACTTTATAGTATTCATATTGTGCTAGCCATGCAATTCGTACTGTCCACGTGCTTTCAACTTCTCTCCTCAAGTTTCCTCGTTTGTGGATCATGGCCATATGTTGTACGGATAATTGCCAGTTTGATTGAACTTTATCTGATTTTTGTATCCCAAGACTTAGAGAATTAAACTTCTCAAAGGTAATAACTCACAAGGAGAATTTACCTTAAAAATATAAAGGAGGGAGGGGTGGGAGAGAAAGTGTCAAATAAGGGATACATATACAAGCTTATGGCAACTGCCACAAAGCTGCTGTAGTATACCCATTTCAGGGGACGACAAAGTAATTCAGAAGATGTGAAGAATTTTCACTTTGATCTAAAAAAAATGCATCTTAATTTTAACATTTCAGGAAAGGCGACTGGTGGTAGAGACAGCACGAAACGCAACCAATTATGATGGCTCACTCGATGATAAAGGACTTTACAACAACACCAAACCCAGTATAACCCCACAAAGTGGGTTCTGGAGAGGATAGTGTGTATGCAGACCTTACCCCTACCTTGTGAAGGTAGAGAGATGTTATTTCCAATAGGCTGTTTCAGATAGGCGACCAGATGGCTCATTCGATGATAAAGGACTTTGATAACCAGAAAAAGAAATGTCACAGACCGATTTCCAAAAAGAATTTGCAGAGGAACTTGAATTACCAGGTTCCTCAACCAACTAGGTTGTGGTAAGTTCATGTACATACCTCAACCAACCCAACTTTTCCAGTAGTTTGGTGGATTGACCAAAGCCATTACAACTTATGGAGAGACATGCCAAACATGAACCATTTGGCTATAATTAAGAGGATAAGCAGAATGGCAGAGTGGCAGCACAGAGTACCAAAAGATCATGACAGTAAATCAATAAGACTTCAGAAATAGCTGAAGATAAGACCAATGTTTGCATGGCCAAAATCACCAGGTTATAAAATCCAGGTGAACCATATGCAAAAGGGTTCGGTAAAGGAATATGATCATTGTGTAGCTCATCATTAGCAAAACTATGTTCAATACCTTAGCAAAGATATACTGAAACTAAGACTACTTGTGTCAGTGTCACATTACCGGATGGCACTTGAAATTCATCATTTACAAAGTTTTAGCTTCTTGAAAAACGAAGATACCACAGATTTTGGATAAGGTTTCGTAGCAAGACAAGTTGGGATGTTTTCTGGTTGTTCAATCCACAGCTTATGAGCAATGCCCCCAGCTTTTAGCTTTTCTGCCAAGTTCAATATCTGAGCTTCACCCTTCACTTCAAGAGTTACCTACATAGCCAAGAGAGAAAGTTGCAATAATATTTTGAATCTTTTATCTTTCCTAAATTTCTCTATACCAAGGACTAAACTAAGTTGGTACACATTGAAGTAGAACAGAAGTGGATGTCATTCTGAATAATATTTCTTGAACAAGGAAGTTGCTTACAAATAAGCTCTTTGCATAATATATATTAACCACAAGTCCACAAGTAAGCTAGAATTCAGAAACTCTTTAGAAATGTCCAATGGCATTTATTGACCCCAATTTTACAAAGCAGGCACCAGGAAACTTCCATATAAAATTCTGCATAATTCATGCTTCGCCTACTAACCTACGCAATCACTAATTCAGTTAAGGAGCTAAAAGAGCATCAAGCTGGCTTTTGTTTTTCTTTAACCACAATTTGCTCTTTTAACTTCCTACAACTGATAATTGAAGCTATGATACACCTTAAGACAATAAATCACAGAGGAGCTCCACCAGACCGTCAACCACACAACCTATAAACAAGTGTAAAAGCAATTTTCATTTTGCTCTTTTCCTGACATAACACAATGCATCAATCAACCTTATCCATCCATTTCATTTGCTACCCATTCAACCAATGAAATTCTCAGCCTCCTACTATCTAAATTGAAAATCAAAAATTTATTCCTCACTAGCATCTAGAGGTGTGGCTTAGTAGTCAATGAAGTGGGTAAGAAACTTCAAGATTGGGATCCAAATTCCACCAAAGACCAAAGAAACTAGGTGATTTCTTCCTACTTGTTTAAACCATGGTGGGTAGAGTCACCCAGTACCTATGCTGGTGGAAGACAGAATAATCGAGATGTATGCAAGCTGGCCTGGACACGACCGTTATCAACGAAAGGAAAAAGGATACATTCTTCACTGAGCACTTAAAGATGCACTTTCACACGCAGTTATTACAGTCAACTATAATTATAATCATATCGTTTTGAATTCCAGACCATCACATTATCATACAATAGCAGTTCAATAATTGCTAATTCAACTACAATTACTAGCTGAATTACAAAAATTAGATATCTTCCATTCCAAGTAATTATCAAAACAAGATTAGTATAGAATTCTTTAGTGAAGATGAACAGTGTAAAAATTACTGTTCGTTCAATCAACGTTTGTTATAGAGAGCTATCTGCAGTAACAGTTACATGACCTGATTGTAAAAATATTTTTATACACATTCATCGTATAGCACTAATTGATCTGGAGAGTGGTGAATCTAAAAGAGAATGACGAATCTTAGTAAATAAAAAATCAACGGATGTGATGGACTTACCTTGTGCATTGAGTCGAGATTGGAAGGGCTACAATATTGAAGAGTAACGGCATCGTCCTTGTGGGACCAAATGGCGGCGACGGCGGCATGGCAGCCTTGCGTAACCACGCTTCCTAACGGCCACGTGTCAATTAGGTCTCTCCTTAGAACAACGTACTGAATCACTGTGTCGGAGACGGAGTTCTCCTCTGCGCTATTGTTACCGGTTGTGGTTGTGTCGCAGCCGGCAGCGACGGCGCTGACGGTGGTGGTTGGGCTGGAGTTGTTGGAAGGGGAAATGGCAGTTGATTCCATTCGAGATATTACGACGCCGTTTAATGGGGGGAGAGTACTTGTGAATTTTAACTGAATCGCCGGAGCTAAGCCGGGAATAAAGGGCGTGACTTTGAGAGACGTAAAACGGGAGCAGAATGGAGTACCCATATCTGCTTTTCAAGCTTTATTTTTTTTTGTTTTTTGCATTTTTGAATTAATATGTGACATGCCGTTTGGATTAGCGATAAGCTTGAAGTGACAAAACTAATTTTTTAAATAAGTATTTATGGGTTTGAATAGACGTGCTAAAACTGATAATAATTAATTAATATATTTGTTAGAAAAGTGTTGATAAGTTTCTATTATTAAAATAACTAAAATACCCTTAAAAATTTTACAATGTATAAATTAAAAAGTTTCTTTATAAAAAAATGATGAACAACGAATATAAAATGAAGAAAAGTTAAAAATTTTATTTCGAAAAATAAATTTTGTAAATTAAGAAAATATTATTAAGGATAAACTAGTAAAAGTCTCGATCAAACTACAAGTGTTTATAAGTTGAAAAGCCATAAGTTAAGGATGACTAACTTATGACTTACGGCTAATTTTAACTTATAAGCACTTGGCTCGCTAAGTACTTTAGGTGTTTATCAAACGCGTAAATAAGCCAAAAAGTACTTATAAGGCAGTTTGACAAACTTGTAAGCTTAGCCAAACACCTCTTTGTTGTCTTTAGGAATAGTATCTTTGTATTTATTTGAATATTTTGGTAATTAAATCATTTTAAATTATTTTGTAACCTTTGTGTGTGATTAATACCCTGTTTGGCCAAGCTTCTAAAATCACCTTATTTTGAGAAGTGCTTTTCTCAAAAGTACTTTTTAAAAAAGTATTTTTGGTGATAAACAGTTTGTATTTGGCTAATTAATTTGAAAAGCATTTTTGAGTAGTAATTACTGTTTGGCCAAGATTTTAAAAACTACTTCTAAGTATATTTTTCTCAAAAATGCTTTTGAAGAGAAACTATTTTTATTTTTTTTGCTTCTCAAAAAATGCTTATTTTCTCCTCAAAAATACTTTTACACCTCAATTTTTGATAAAGCACTTTGGCCAAAAAGTATTTTTGGCCCAAAAAAAAGTTTGGCTAAACATGCTATAAACATGTTTTCAGAAGCAATAGAGATTTCACTATTACATTCTTTTGTGCAAACATATTTTTTGAAATAACAGTTTATGTTTGGCCAATTCATTTGAGTGGTGCTTTTTACAATCTCATTGTATTTAATTAATCTTTTTAAAAAGCACTTTTAAGTAACAAATTACGAAAAAAGACAGTAAAGGTTCAATTTGGGATTAGTATTAATTAGAAAAGAAAAATAAATTTAAAAAATTATAAATCAAAACTTCCAATCAATATAAAATATAATTATTCCAAAGCAATGGCATTGGGTGTTTGGTATTATTTATTGTTTACATGATAATTTAAATATGTCAAAATACATCATTCAATATAAATTTAAAATCTACTTTTAGAAATAGGAGAAAGAGAATAAAAATATGATTACAATAAAAAAGAAAAGAAATATATAGTAGAAATAAAAAAGAAAAATATTAAATTAATAAGGGATAATTTAAATATAAATTTATTAAAATGTTAACTTTGTCTTTAACAAATTAATTTTCTACTTCTACTTCTACTTCTTGGAAGAAACTAGAATTTGTAGCTTCTCTCCAAAAGCAGAATACACTACTAGAAATTCGGTAATTAGTGACCACAAAAAACGACCAACGTTGGTCGGTTTTGGCAAATTACCGATCAAAATGCGTCCAAACACGCTTGGTCGCTATTTTGGTGGTCGTTTAGTATACCGACCAAGGTTGGTCGCTAATTACCAACCAAGGTTGATCGCAAAGATAAAGGACCAACTGTACAATTTAAAGCACATACCGATCAACTTTGGTCGGTCATATTTTAATAATTTAATTTTACCAACCAAAGTTGGTCGGTAAAGTTGAAATCTGGGTAATTTTTGTTCATTAACCGACCAACTTTGGTCGGTAATTTTTAATTTGTTTTTTTAAACTTAAGAGGCCAACTTTGGTCGTTAATTCAGCAGAAAAATATTTTTTTAATTAGAAACCGACCAACTTTGGTCGATTTTCTGGGTTTTAATTTTGGCATAAAATGCCTATTTTGGCAGCTACAACACCTGCCAGCATACCAAAATCCCTAAATAACAACAACAACACAATAAATACATTAAAACTAACAAATTAAAGTTCAATAGAACTAAAAAATCCAAAACCAAGTTAAAACTTATTACAACTAGTTCAAAACCGGTTCTATTTGTCTAGTTCAAAGTATATAAAAGTCAGGGAGTGTTTTGTACAACATCATCATCACCGTCTGATGAACTTTCATCTAAAAGACGATGTCGAGAAGGGTCTTGTGAAGGATGGGAAGAACGACCATGGGGAGGATGGGAGAAACGATCACGTGGAGAACGAAAGGAACGCTCACGTTCTAGTCGAGCCTCTGGCGATGACTCACGAGATCGGGGCAATGGAAAAGCTCCAGTAGATATGAGAGTTCTAATTTGAGCTTGCATGCCAAGGAACTGAGCATCTCTAACCCTTTCTCTTTCCTTGGCCGTTTCTAGCTCGGATGTGAGCTTTGTTACAGTCTCCCACATAGCGGAGAGGCTCTCCTCATCAAGTTGCTCGTCTTGCGAAGAAGTCCCTATTCTATGCATTCCACACTTATAGCGATGGAATTTCTTAGTAGGAAGCCCGTATTCCTTCCCCCATTTCTGACCGCCAGCAGACTCCATCCATATTTTTTAGCATCCTCGTCCGAAGGTTGGGTTGGCTCGCCCGAGTCATTAGGTGGCTGAGTGCGGATGAATTCCTCCACGTTAGTTTGGTAGCGACCCTTTACGAAATTTTACATTGAATTAGTATTTCAAAATTTATATAAAAGTAAATTAAAATACTTAAAGAAAAGTGAAAGCTTACATATACTGTCGAGGCCCGGTCCTCGACCCACCTTTCATGATCCGTCTCTTTCTTCTTATTTACAATATGTGTCTCCTTGAATAGCTCTCATGGTTCATTGGACGCCCCGACTTCTTTTCCTGAAAACAAATTAATTTAGTTAATAAACAGAATAGATATACTTTGAAAATTAAAATAATTTAAGCAATTACATATCAATCTTCTTTTTATTGTCCCTAGGCTGATCGCACCTCCAGTGTGCAAGGACCCGCCCTTCTCAGATGCGCGAGCTTTCTTTCCTTTTTCGCTCTTCTCTAAGTACTTTGCGGTAATCCATTGCCTTTGCAAATCCTCCCATAAATTTTGAAGTAACCATTGGCTTCTTGTTCTTCTTTATAGCTTCGGAGAAAGTATGCGACAATCGCTTGCGAGCTTTGTAATGAAAATTTGCAGCCACTTTCGCGCTATAGCGGTGTTACTATACACACTTGCTCTGTATTTCAAAAGTTAAATATTATATGGAAATATCATAAATATAAATTATTAAACTGCTTAAAAGAACATTTTTACCTTAAATTGATTAAAAAATTGCTCCTTCAGCGAGAACGGAAAATCAGTCCAAGTCACATAAGGGCCATCATAAAGCTTTCTGATGGTTTTGGTGATTATCTTCGTAGTCTTATTACTCGGGATGAACCTGCAATTTAACAATAAAAACACATTAATATTTTAGTAAAAACTTTACAAAACAATAAACGCAAAAATAACAAATAACTCTTACCCATCACCCTTAGGGACTATGATGATCCTGACATACTGATCATAATGCACCTCCTCGTCATCATCAGCATTGTCACACCTCCTTCTTCCGCCCCCGCGAGGGTACAAGGAGTTTTCTCCAATTAAAGGACAGTCGAAACAGGATTTGTTTATTTATTTCAGAGTCGCCACCTGGGAATTTTATGGCGTCCCAAGTCACCGGTTTTAATCCCGAATCGAGGAGAATATGACTCTGTTTGTCATTCTGCGAATCAGAAATCCGAGTAAGGAATTCTGTTAATTTGGGAGAAGGTGTTAGGCATTCCCGAATTCCGTGGTTCTAGCACGGTCGCTTAACCATTTTTATATTTGGCTTAACTATCTTGATTTACTAATTACATTTTTTCTTGTTGCCTGATTTTATTACCGCTTTTGTTTGGATTGTTTACAATTATAGACCTTCTTTGAAACGAATCACGCGTACGTATATTCGTATTATATATTTTTTTTATAAATGTAAAGAATCGTGTCACGCATACGTGTACACAATAAGATTGAGAATATTTTTATATTTTTATTATATATAAAAAAAACTTATGTTCGAAATTGTGCTTAAAATAAAATTAAGAACATTTCGTCCCTCTTGTATGATTAAATAGTGAACTGCACATCTCGGGTTATATGAAATTAATTTAACATCCTCCGAAGAACCCACTTTTATTAAAAGTTTGCTCGAAGTTGCGCGAACGCATAATCCAAATTGTCTTTAGAAGTATAATCAGGTCACGCGAACGCATCCCTAATTACACAAAATATCCTGGTAATATAAATTCTCTACAAATGTTTATTATATCCATCTATTTTTAAATGTGAAAGTCATGGGAAATCACCGAATAGAATGTCTCGAGATTTCCAAAAATTTCAAAATTTATTAGGTATTGATCACAAGTTATATTTTAAACATGTGAATTATATATCTCAAAACTATTCATATTAAAAGAATTAATGAGATGAAAATAAATAAATACTGTGCAACTAAAACTACCATTTTTATTGTGAATACGGTATATGTATTTTCAGTACTTGACAATTATATGCACAAGTTATTTATTATTTTCATAAGCTTAAGACTAAATGTATACGTTTGAAGACTTACAAAAAAAGAAAAAAAAACGAATTGTGTAAAACTAAAAAAATGTAATTGATAAGCAAACTAATAGTTTTCGAAGACTTTCCATTATTCTATTCCGAGCGAACTCTATTTTGTACATTTTAAAATGTTACAATTCATATTTATAAATCTGACCTTCTTCTATACAGACTTGTTTTTAATCTAAAAGGTCTAATTATTTGGTTAGTTTGCTTTCAATGATTTAGTTTGGGATAATTAAACCAATTTTCTTTATCTCGGCATATGCAAGATATTTACAAGT